CGGAGGAGATCTATCAGTTTGTGGTATTGGAAAGCGGGCGACGAGCAGAGCAAACTAAGGCTCTTGGATTTCATGCTCTCATAATAGCTCTTTGTGCAGCCCATGGTGTGGACGTAAACCCATCAATTAACATTCGGTCGCCCATTAATAGAAAATTTATTGAGCGAAACTGTGTGAACCCTACAGAAAGGGAGCCACAGCCACTGACACAGGAACCACACCAACCAAGAAGAGCCCGACAGCCACCTCCACCACCTCAGCAGCCAGACTTTCAAAGAATGATGCAATACATGAAGCATTTAACATTACAACAATCAGCGAGCCATAGGGGTCAATGCAACATTAATGAAAATTTTTATAACTTGTCTTTGCAAATTGCTCCAGGTATGCAGTAGACGTCACCACAAGAATTTGATGCCTTACTTCAATGGTCTGGGGACAGTTCCAATTTTCCAAGAGGGGGTGAAGGTGCAGCTAGTGCACAAAGAGCACAAGAAGAAGAGGAGGAATCACAAGAAGAAGATGAAGAAGAAGCAAGTGAAGAAGAAGATTAAGAGAGAGAAAATTTTATTTTATGTGATTTTTGTTATTTTGGTGTGTTTAAGTGATTTGGTTAATTTAATGTTTTAAGTTTTTTTGTTTTAATTTGTTTTAAGATGTTTTGTTTTGAATATTCTGAATTGACACTTAATGTGATAAATGTTTGAAATTAATGTGATTAAATTGTTATCCCATATAATTTGGATTAGAGCCAATTATGAAATTATTATTTATTGTCCAATTCAAATCTGGAACTTGAAGAAAATCATTTTGATTGTTTCCAATAACAAGTGATTTTGGAATATTGAGTATGATAGTGAAAAAAGAATTGACGGGGAGAAGTAGGAATTAACTGAATTGAAAGCTAGTCAAAAATCCAAGCGAGAAGTGAACCAAAAACAGATAAATTGAGTGTCAACACTTTGTGATGATAACTGGTATTGAATGATTCTTTGATGTGATTGCATGTTAGTGAGACTTGAAAATGATAAAGACATTTTTTTATTTGTAGTAGATATAACCCAGAGTCAAATAGTCAACCCTACATTAATTATAGTACATCCATTTGAACCCCTTCTGAGCCAAAAACAATATTGTTTCTTAAACAGAACCCCTAAGCCTAAACACCATTTATCTACCTTCCTATATTTGAGAAAGGAAATGAGTATGAATGTTATTATTATTTTTTCTATTGTTGGGTATTGTTATTGTTGTCTTACGGGTATTATTGGGGTGTTATTTAAAAAAAATGTAAAGAAAAAGGAAAAGCAAAACATAAATATTGTGGCAAAGCCAAAAAGGATAAATGCAAAGCATGAGAAAAGAAAAAAAAAGTTCAAGGGGGGAAATAATAACTTGTGAGATTATTAACTCACTATCATTGTGTTAGGGACAGAAGCATGAAGTTTGAAACCCGATTTGAGGAAATATTAAACAAGAATCATTCATATGAGTTGAATTTCTCAAATAATTTTGTATATCCCAGAAAAACCAATGATTCTTTCTCAGCCCAACCCCATTACAAGTCTCAAAAGACCTTTTGATTTAAGTCTTGCTTAACAAATGTTGATTGCTTGAAGATGAGTATCAATATTGGATTGTCTAAATGAAGTGATTAAATGAGATAGACACTTACCTGTGAGATGTAAGAGATCATGCTTCTTTGAGGATAGTTGATGATTTATTTTCCTTTATTAATTTTTGTAACTTGAATGCTTATGTATTCTATTTTCATTTGGAGTTGTGAGCATCACATTTGAAATTTTTTTATGTTGTGGTTCTAGAAGAGAAAGTGATAATAGGTGATGGTTTTGTTTTGAAAAAATTATTTTGCTTGGGACAAACAAGATTTTAGGTTGGGGGGAATTGTTAAGTGGTAAAAAGTTGATATAATTATGCTTTGAATTATTATGAAACCACTTAACTTATGTTTATTTTAATCTATTTTTCTCCTAATGTAGGATGAATTCGAGAATACCGTGATACAAAAGTAAAGAGCATAATTGTCAGCATAATTAGAGTAAAATTGGAAGAAGGAAGAAGAATTTTAACATGGAAGTCGCTCGAGTGAGATGGACTCTCGCTTGAGCGAATATCAGTTATTCTTCTCTGAAATTCAATCGCTCAAGCGCAAGTAAATTTGGAGTTGTGAGCATCACATCTGAAATTTTTTTATGTTGTGGGTCTAGAAGACAAAGTGATAATAGGTGATGGTTTTGTTTTAAAAAAATTACTTTGCTTAGGACAAACAAGATTTTAGGTTGGGGGGAATTGTTAAGTGGTAAAAAGTTGATATAATTATGCTTTGAATTATTATGAAACCACTTAACTTATGTTTATTTTAATCTATTTTTCTCCCAATGTAGGATGAATTTGAGAATACCGTGATACAAGAGTAAAAAGCATAATTGTCAGCATAATTAGAGTAAAACTAGAAGAAGGAAGAAGATTTTCAGCATGGAAGTCGCTCGAGTGAGATGGACTCTCACTTGAGCGAATATTAGTTATTCTTCTCTGAAATTCAATCGCTCAAGCGCAAGTAAATTTACTTGAGCGAATGTTAGTTATTCTTCTCTGGATTTCACTCGCTCAAGCGAGCATTTTGTCGCTTTAGCGAAAATAGGAAACTTTCGCTTGAGCGAACAATGCGACACCCAATTTTTTCTATAAAAAGATAAGATGTGTTTTGAGAAAAACAAGCGGTTTTGGGGAGAAGAGGCGCGACTACTGCTAGGGTTTTGTCCAATCTTCATCAATTCTTCACTTCTTCCTCATTTGGAGCATTGTAATGGTCAATATGAGTGACTAACTTCATTCTCTTGGGATTTGATGTACTTCCTTTGGACTCTTTTGTATCATGGTGATATTTTGAGATATTAATCTATGTTTTGATGTTGCTATTCTTATCCTTTGTGCTTTGGAATTATTTATTCTTGATGTTTGGGATATGATTGAAAAATATATCTTAAACCCCAAATCACGGTAAGAATATTTATTACGTTAATTGCCAAGAATGGAATAAATGTATCAATTGCTTAACACCCTAAATCTAATGCTGGAAAATCTCTTAATTGTGTGAGAAATCAACATTTATTAGGTTTTCTTATGAATTTCATGTGTGAGGAATCAACATGGATGATTTCAGTAGGTGACATCAACATTGTTAGGTTAATTGACGTTCTTAATTGACATAACCATTACAAAAGAGGAATAAGGAAGGAAATCAATCCTAAGTACCTTTAATTGATCTTTTCTCAACAATTTACAGTTCTTTGTCATTTAATTTCAATTCAACTCTTTATGCAAAACTCAATTTGTTTTAATCCATTTAGTAAGCATATAATTGGGAATTTTCATTGAAACCGTTCCTTGTGGGATCGACTTTTATTTAATATAAATACTATACTGCGATTGATAATTTTGGTACGCTTGCCAATAATTCAACAAGCAATCAAGTCATCTTCTACAATATTCCACAGGTCTTAAGAGCAAAAAAATGTCTTACTTTTAACAATTCAAAAATCATAATTTTCTCCCATGCAAAGAGTACATGAATAAATGAAGAAGATTTGACACTAGTCATTAATTGGGATTTGTAAAAAAATATAATAAGACATTTTGAAGGTAATTAGGTATTGTATCTATGTTCAATAGATGATCAAACATAATTATGATACCACTATTAATATTTTAGGAAGAATAGGAAAATTTTTGATGTTGTTTAGTAGTGAAAAGTTTAAAAAGGTATAATTATAAAACTTAGAAGAGAAACATGAAGGAGTTTGTATTAATTTTGTACGCTCAATGCAAGTGTTATTGCAAGCCTAATTGGCTGTCTCGAAAATAGTGTATAATATTCTAAATAATTATAGTTTTTCCTATCTCTCGTAAATGTCAAGAATTACATTTTTTAGAATATTTTTTTTACTTGCATGCTATTCTATTTATAATTTTCTAATTTTTTCTTAATTTTATATCAATATGTTTTCTTCATTTTCAACCATTTCTAGCAATTTATCACAAGAATCTATTTCAAGTTTCTCGAGCTGCTTGTGATTTTTTGCCATGGAAAATAAAGTTTGCAGGTTTTCACAATTACTAACAATGACCACTCTTAGAAGTAAAAAGATGTCTCATTTGGTAATAACACTAGTAGAAAATAGGTTTTTAACATCTGTTCGCATGACCAATGTAGAAAGTCTAATATTTTTATTTATTTTATTTATTCATAACCCCTCTCTAATTACCCTACTTATCTAGAAGTCTCCCCTCCCTTTTATATAATATTTTTATTATTTATTATATTTTTTAGAAATTATAAATAAATTATATTTATATACAAATAAAAATATATATCCATGTAAATATATAAATATATAATATATAAATACAAATATAAATATATTTATATGTTGGATGTGAGGGTGTGCTCGACGGTGAAAGTGTGTGTCGAGTAGATTTTTAAAATTTGATGTCAAATTTGTGAGCGAGTTTCTTTATATGGGTTTATAATTTAATGACGAGAATATAATCTTTATAATTTATTTATATAATGATATAAAATAATTTTTTTTTATTTTATATCATTATATAAATTAATTATAAAGATTATATTATGTATCATTATAAATAAATTATAAAGATTATATTATATCGTTAAATTACAAATTCATATAAAGAGACTGGATTCACAAATTTGACATCAAATTTTGAAAACCCACTTGACACACACTTTCATCCTCGAGCGTGCGCTTCACATCCGAGCATATAAATATATAAATATATTTGTATTTATATATATTTTATATTTATATATTTACATAGATATACATTTTTATTTGTATATAAATATAATTTATTTATAAGTTATTATTATAAAATTTTAGTAATTTAGTAGTTGGAGTATCGGTTTAACTCTAAGATATTGGGTTTGAATCCTATCATTGACGAGGAAGAATTACCTGTACTTGGTCGCTATTCTTAACTTCCAATTCTTCTAATTTATTTAAACGAGAAACAATATCAGATGAAATTGCATATGCTCGGGTGAACCTTTTCAGCTTCACTCTTTTCAAACTGCGCAACCATACCTTTCGTTGCTTAACATTACCCCGCAAGATTGTTTCATCAAAACTAGGAGAACACTCATTGTTCGAGGCTTCAAAATAGTCCTGCAAATATTACAATCAAGTTTATAATCAGAATATAAGATATTGTTAGTGTTTTAAGAATAAAAAGAAACGTTAGTTTTGTTGTTTAGTAGTGAGGAGCTTAAAAAGGTATAATTTCAGAGTTTAGAAGGAAAATGCGGAAGAGTTTGTATTAGTGTTTTTCAAACTCTCGACATAAGTGATATTTCCTATTGATAGGTTTGATCCACAATATCTAGTAGTGTATAATATTTTAGATAATTCTAATTTTTTATAACTTCAATTATCAAGCATTACAATTTCTAAAATATTTTATTACTTTAATTCATTTCTAGAATGACTACTTTATCTATAGTTTTTTATATTATTCTAGAAATTTGTATCATCTTTTAACAATTTTCCTTAGTGTAAAATTTTGTAACTCCAACTATGAATCGTAACTATTCAAACTTGACTTTTGATAGTGTCTAGGTAAATATGTCTACAATTTGATCTCTTATAACATAGTACTCAAATTGAATTTGTTTAGTTACTTCAAACTTTTTAATAAAGTGATACCTAATAGTTGTATGCTTTATTTTTTAATGCTGAATTGGATTCTTTATCATTGTTATCGCTAATTTGTTGTCACGGTAGATGAACCGATATAAAAAGTTTTGAATTCACTTTCTACATCGGTTCTTTAAGAACCGATGTGAAAAATACGATGTTAAAAGTGATTTCTATACTAGTGTTATTTTCCAAACATTTCTCAGCTTTGATAGCCATTTTAAAGTCAATACCTTCAATGGGAATGTTGTAAGTTTCTCATTGTCACTCATAAAAAATTACCTGTACTTGGTCGCTATTCTTAACTTCCAATTCTTCTAATTTCTTTAAATGAGGAAGAATATCAGATGAAATTGCATATGCTCGGGTGAACCTTTTCAGCTTCACTCTTTTCAAATTGCGCAACCATATCTTTCGTTGCTTAACATTACCCCGCAAGATTGTTTCATCAAGACTAGGAGAACACTCATTGTCCGAGGCTTCAAAATAATCCTGCAAATATTACAATCAAGTTTATAATAAGAATATAAGATATTGTTAGTATTTTAAGAATAATAAGAAACGTTAGTTTTGTTGTTTAGTAGTGAGGAGCTTAAAAAGGTATAATTTCAGAGTTTAGAAGGAAAATGCGGAAGAGTTTGTATTAGTGTTTTTCAAACTCTCGACATAAGTGATATTTCCTATCGATAGGTTTGATCCACAATATCTAGTAGTGTATAATATTTTAGATAATTCTAATTTTTTCTAACTACAATTATCAAGCATTACAATTTCTAAAATATTCTCTTACTTTAATTCATTTCTAGAATGACCACTTTATTTATAGTTTTTTATATTATTCTAGAAATTTGTATCATCTTTTAACAATTTTCCTTAGTGTAAAATTTTGTAACTCCAACTATGAATCGTAACTATTCAAACTTGACTTTTGATAGTGTCTAGGTAAATATGTCTACAATTTGATCTCTTATAACATAGTACTCAAATTGAATTTGTTTAGTTACTTCAAACTTTTTAATAAAGTGATACCTAATAGTTGTATGCTTTATTTTTTAATGCTGAATTGGATTCTTTGTCGCTAATTTGTTGTCACGGTAGATGAACCGATATAAAAAGTTTTGAATTCACTTTCTACATCACCGATGTGAAAAATATGATGTTAAAAGTGATTTCTATACTAGTGTTATTTCCCAAACATTTCTCAGCTTTGATAGCCATTTTAAAGACAATACCTTCAATGGGAATGTTGTAAGTTTCTCATTGTCACTCATAAAAAATTACCTGTACTTGGTCGCTATTCTTAACTTCCAATTCTTCTAATTTCTTTAAATGAGGAAGAATATCAGATGAAATTGCATATGCTCGGGTGAACCTTTTCAGCTTCACTCTTTTCAAATTGCGCAACCATATCTTTCGTTGCTTAACATTACCCCGCAAGATTGTTTCATCAAGACTAGGAGAACACTCATTGTCCGAGGCTTCAAAATACTCCTGCAAATATTACAATCAAGTTTATAATCAGAATATAAGATATTGTTAGTATTTTAAGAATAATAAGAAAGGTTAGTTTTGTTATTTAGTAGTGAGGAGCTTAAAAAGGTATAATTTCAGAGTTTAGAAGGAAAATGCGAAAGAGTTTGTATTAGGGTTTTTCAAACTCACGACATAAGTGATATTTCCTATCGGTAAACATTACAATATTTATCATCAGATGTTATATCTGTTGCTTGCTCTTCCTCTGCCCAATAAACAAACAACATTACTATTACAAATGTACAATGCCTTTCCTTTTAGCATATTTAAATTGAAAGAAAAAACTAGAGCAAGTAATATGGTAAAGTACAGTGGTTCAGCTTCAAAGTTACCAACCAAATTACTAAACCAGTTGTTTTGCAGACCAACTTCACCATCCAAGGCTGCTTGTTGCTCACGACCATCAGAAAAACATTCCTTGTCCACAGCTTCAAAAAACTCCTGTAAAATATTACAATAGATTTATCATCAGATGTTATATCCATTGCTTGCTCTTCCTCTGCCCAATAAACAAACAACAATTACTATTACAAATGTACAATGCTTTTCCTTTTAGCATATTTAAATTGAAAGAAAAAACTAGAGCAAGTAATATTACGGATTAGAGTTGAATCTTAGTGGCAAATCACAATTATCACTATTCATCATTCATTTAACCGGGGTCTATTATACGAGTATCAGCAAATCATCAGTTATCCACTTTTTAACTTAAGATTTTCTGAAGACTGTCAGAAATGTTTTGGTGACTTCTTTCGGCCATCACATTAGATTTATGTTGTCACTGCTAGGCTTGTATTAGGGGTCATTTGATTCAACTCCTACAATACAGGATTAAATGTCGGTTCTAGCCCTACTTGTGCAATGTACTATCGTGAAGGAGTATTAAGCTTTGTCCACTTTGACCTAATACCTGGTGTTTCTGTATATCCAATAAGGATAGATTTTGATGTTATTTTGTATTTTCTGATAATGTTGAGGTTTCCACAAAATTGGTTTACAAGATGATAGTTTCCTCCACTTTTCTACTGTTGACAAACGAGTATCTAAATAAAACACTTTGTAAATTGTCACTTGATGTGTTTGCAATGAGTGATACATGGTCAATTTATAGGTATTTGGATATGGCCTCTCAACTATATGCATTTAATATAACTACTACCTTTCAACTACATACATTCAATACAACTACTACCTCTCAACTACTATCTCTACAACCACTACCTCTCAACTACATGCATTTAATGTTTACCTAACAAAATCCCCCCATAAACTTAAATGTTTTTCTTGTCCTTCATTCCAAGCATCTTCTTGTTGTTCTCGAACAGAGTGGTTGGCAGTGGCTTCGTGAAAATGTCTGCAGCTTGTGCTCGGGTTCCGACGTGCTCTAACTTCACATTTCCTTCTTTCACTTGTTCTCGGATGAAGTGAAACCGAACATCAATATGTTTATTTCTCTCATGATTGACCGGGTTCTTTGTCAATTCAATGGCCGACTTGTTATCAACTCGAATCACAGTCCCTTTTTCTTACTTCAACTTCAGCTTGCTTAGAAGGTTTCTAAGCCAAACTGTATGACAGACACTCCAGGATGCTGCAACGTACTCGACTTCATAAGTTGACAACATTACAATGGGCTGCTTTTTTGAAAGCCAGGTGAATGTTGTGTTTCCCATGAAGAATACATATCCAGACGTGTTTTTTCGGTCATCAACATCTCCACACCAGTCACTATCAAAGTAGCCTACTAGTCTATAATCATCTGTCCTAGTATATATTAGGCCAAGTGACACTGTTCCTCTCACATACCTTAGAATTCTCTTTAGTGCCTTCCAATGAGTATATCTTGGCTCCTCCATATATCGACTTGCTATTCCAACACTTAGCATTAAATTTGGTCTAGTATTTGTAGGATACCTAAGACTTCCAATCAGACTTCGGTATTTGCTCGCATCAACTCGGTCTCTATCTGCATACTTAGAAAGTTTTGTACCAGGTTCCATAGGGGTGGAAACTGGGTTGCAACTTGTCATCTTAAACTTCTTCAAGATCTCCTCAGCATACCTTTCCTGCAACACAAAGATGTCATTCTTTCCTTGAACAACTTCTAAACCAAGGAAATACTTCATATATAAGACCCAAGTCAGTCATTTCAAACTCCTTCTTCATCACTTCGTTAAACTCTTCAATCAACTCGGCATTATTCCCCATGAAGATAAGGTCATCAACATATAGGGCAACAAACATCACATCTTCTCCTTTCTTCTTTATGTATAGAGCATGTTCATAAGGACACTGCTCATATCCATTCCTTTTGAAGTAAGTGTCAATTCTTTTATTCCATGCTTGTGGAACTTGTTTTAAGCCATAAAGTGTCTTCTTCAATCTCAGCACTTTCTTCTCTTCACCTCTTCGCATGTATCCGAGTGGCTGTTCAACATATACTTCCTCCTCCAAGATTCCATTCAGAAATGCCGACTTCACGTCCATCTGCAAGATTGTCTATCTGTGTTGAGCTTCTAAGAAAATCAGCAGCCTAATTGTTTCCATTCTCGTCACTGGGGCGAGTACTTCGTCATAGTCTATTCCTTCCTTTTGCTTGTACCCCTTCACTACAAGTCGAGTTTTATATCGCTCAACTTCTCTTTCAGCATTTGTCTTCTTCTTGTACACCCACTTTACGCCGATAGACTGCATTCCTTTGGGCAAATCAGTCAGCTCCCATGTGTTATTGCGTTCTATTGCTCTGATCTCCTCGTCCATTGCCTTTTTCCACCTTTTTTCCTGCACGATCTCTTCAAAACTTAAGTCTTCTGAATATGCCAAGAGACATACAACATGCACTTCATCAGTGGAGTTGTATATATCTTGTAAACTTCGCGCTCTGGGTTGTAGAGGTTCATCTTCTTCATCAGAAGTCTCATGATCTCTCACAGTATGTGGTGTATCAACTTCCGAGCTTGTACTTCTTATGGACTCCTTCTCCGGGTTGTTCCAACTCCACTCGCTTTCTTCATCAATTTGAACATCTCAGCTCATAATGACCTTCTTAGTTATTGGGTTAAACAAGCTATACGCCTTGGTTTTTTCATCATACCCAATAAACACGTACTTTTTGCTTCTATCTTCGAGCTTGGTCCTCTGTTGAGCTGGAACATGACCATAAGTTATGCTACCGAATACTTTAAGGTGAGACACACTCGGTTTTCTTCCACTCCAGACTTCTTACGGTGTCTTCTCGTTCAGCTTAGCATGTGGACATCTATTTTGCACATAGATGGCACATTGCACTGCTTCTGCCAAGAACTCCTTTGACAAGTTTTTACTTCTCAACATTGTTCGAACCATGTCAAGAATGGTTCGATTCTTCCTCTCGGCAACTCCGTTTTGTTGGGGTGAGTATGGTGCTGTCAGAAATCTCCTTATCCCTTGCTCCTCGCAATTCTTCATGAGTTCGGATGAAATGAACTCGCCTCCTCGATTAGACCTAACAGATTTGATAGGCATGCCAGTCTCTTTCTCAACCATTGCTTTAAACCTCTTGAACACCTCAAACACCTCAGATTTCTCCTTCAAAAAATATACTCAGGTTTTTCTTGAAAAATCATCTATAAAAGAAATGAAATACTTTTTCCCACTGAAGGACTCAGGGGTAACAGGTCCACAAAGATTTGTGTGAATCAATCCGGGTTGTTCCTTTGCACGGTACTCGGCCGTCCTCGGAAATGAGGTCCTCGGATGCTTCCCGAGCACACACTCTTCACAAAATTTATTTTCAAATTCCATAGAGGGGAGTCCTCGCACCATCTCTTTCTTTACCAACTCAGTCAGCTCGCCAAAATGCAAGTGGTCAAACCGAAAGTGCCACATCATTGTTTCATCCTTCACGTCAAGTTTCAAGCACCTCTCTTGGACTATCTTCAAGTCCAGCTTGTACATTCTGTTCTTCTTCATTTCTACTCGGGCAATCAAATGATCCGACTTGTCCTTCAGGTATAGTACTCGGTCTTTCATCAGAACCGAGTAGCCTTTCTCCATCAGCTGACCCATGCTCAATATGTTGCTTTTGAGATCGGGTACATAGTACACGTCTCTGATTTCTCCAACTCGACTATTCTTCTGCAGGTACCAGATTGTACCTCGGCCTTTTACTGCCACCTTTGATGCATCTCCAAACGACACGTGTCCGGCCTCAACTTTAGTGAGCTCCTTAAAAAGGTTCTCGTCCCCGCACATGTGGTTACTTGCTCCTGTATCAAGATACCAAACCGAGTTGTCAGAACAATTTGAACTTAGCTCGACATCCGAACTTCTCGATATCATCAATACTCCTTCTTCCTCAGCGTCCTCAGAGAGGAGGTTTGTTTCCTTCTTCCTCTCAGATCGGCAGTCCTTTGCAAAATGTCCAACCTTCCCACAATTATAACATTTGATACCTGAATAGCAGTCCTTAGCAAAATGACCGTACTTCCCACATTTGAAACACTCAACTTCGGAATTGTTTGACTGACCACGTCGGCCTCTACCGCCACGACCTCTACCTTGTCCTTGGCCACGCCAGTTTTGTTGACTCACTTGCTCCTTACCTCTTTCATATCCTCCTCTACCTCTACCACCACGGCCTTCAGTGTTCTGAGCATAAGGAACCTTCTTCTCCTTTAATGTTGCCTTTGCTTGGAGTGCTTGATCAAGGGACTCCTCTTTCTTCTTCCTTCTCCGCTGCTCATGCGCTTCAAGTGACCCGACAAGCTCTTCCACCGAGAGCACCGACAAGTCCTTGGACTCTTCTATTGCACAAACAATATTCTCAAAGTTGTCAGTTAACGACCTTAAGATTTTCTCCACCACTCGGCAAGTGGGCAGTGTCTCTCCATTTCTTCCAAGTTGATTCACCACGGTCTCAACACGGGAGATGTACTCAGCAACCCCTTCGACCTCTTTCATCCTCATGCTTTCAAGCTCGCCTCTAAGAGTTTGAAGTCTGACTTGCTTCACGCAATTATCCCCTTTATATGCCTTCTTCAGAATATCCCACGCTTCTTTTGAAAATTTAACATTTGCTATCTTCTCAAAGTCGGACTCATCAATAGCTCGGTACAGCGCGTACAAAGTCGTTTTGTCCTTTACTCGTGTTGCTCTCAATGCAGCAAGCTGGACAATCGTCTGCTCTTCAATATTCTCTGGTTCTTGGTGTCCATTTTCGACCACATCCCATACTTCCTGGGAACCAAGGAGAGCCTTCATTTGCAGGCTCCAGTTATCATAGCTTACACCTTTTGATAACTTTGGCAGGGGCATGCTGTTAGCTAAGTTGGTCATTTTGAATAAATTCTCTAACTCTCAAACACTCTCTCTAACGCACTCAGACACTCAGGCTCTCAAGCTCTGATGCCAATTTTTTGACAAACAAGTATTTAAATAAAACACTCTGTATATTATCACTTGATGTGTTTGTAATGAGTGATACATGATTAATTTATAGGCCTTTGGATATGACCTCTCAACTATATGCATTTAATACAACTATCTTTCACCTACATACATTCAATACAACGACTACCTCTCAACTACTATCTCTATAACCACTACCTCTCAACTACATACATTTAATGTTTACCTAACATCTACTTTACTTTCGAAAAACCATTCAGTAAATGGAGCAATGAGCAATTTTGGTTGGAATAAAATTCTTACCGATCCTTGGATTATCTTCGCGGTGCTGTTAATATCTTGGTGTAAGATAGGTTTTCCATCTAACGTGAGTCGAATTCCTGATAAGGATTCCGCGTCTGCTGTGGAGAAACTCTTCATCTTAGGGCATTTCTCCACGCGCACATGTATCAGAGATGGAAATTGGAGAGTGTCACTGCCCGAATAAAAACAGTGGAGGCTTGATAGAGAGTCTAGAATTATTGTGTTGAGTCGCTCCAATTTTATGGCCTCTGGGGTAATTTCTTCATTCTCTTTTGCCAATATTTCTTGCATTGATTCACATAGTGTTACTTGCATCAACTCAAGGTGTACCAGCTTTCTTGCAATTGAGGATGTAAATAAATACCTCAATCCATGGCATTCCTTTATGGACAACTTTTTGAGTCTGGAGAATGACGGTGTTGAATGTACTGATGTTGTCACATGTCCACCTAGTTGAGGTTGAGAAGGGAGTAACTCCTCAAGACCCCTGCATCGCCTTATTTCAAGATATTCTAAATTGAACGCCTTTTCAAGTAGCACAATGGGAAAATTTGACACCTCGTTGACATCATCAAAATCAAGTTCAAGTTCAACTAATTTATGAAGCATGTCTTCTGGAAACTTTCCATTACATAGCATCATAGTGTTTTTCCAATCCAGCTTCAGTGACTCCAAAATGAAATTAGCCTAGTCAGGGAAGAACAAAAGGGCAAGCAAGGGGTGACAATCAGAAGACAAATCGAAAAGGAAGACAGAAAAAAAGACAAAGGGCAGAATATTGTGCTACAAACCTCTTTCTGGGAGAAAAGGGGTTGTCTATAAACTGAAGTAGAACTTTGAGCCTCTTGCGGACTTTGAAATGATTCAAAGTTACCACAAAATAACACCTCTAAATGATCTAAGTCGGGGCATTCCAAAGTAAATGGTCCAGGATAAAAGTAACTCAATTGTGGCAACAAATGCAGATTCAGTGTGCTTAAACGAGGAAATGAAAATTCTTCTTCTATTGTGTCCTTCTCCTCTTGAACAATTTGTACAAACCCTCCACACTTTTTTATTTCCAGTTTCTGGAGCCTCTCAATTCTTTTAGCCAGTTCTACAGGAAAAAGTGTTTCCAGCTTGTGACAATCAGTAACACATACTTGCTGCAGATTTTGAAAGCTGAAAATTCGTTCTTGATCCTTATCCCATACATGTTTCAAATTTGGCAACCCACGCAAGATTAATTTCTTCAACGGAAAGGTATATCCCTTCATCTTATCAGTCTCGAATTTGTCAAATATTACGTTTACAATTGTGCTGCTGCTGACTTCCAATTCTTCTAAGTTCTTCAACCCAGTGAAAAGATTAGTAGGAATAGCATTCGCGCCATATTGACAATTCGTCAGCACCAAAGTCTTCAATTGAGAGCTCTGGAGAGCTTCCAAAGGATTGGAAGCTGACATGTTGTCTTTATCAAGAGCCTGTAAATATTGTAAATAAGGTCGTAATCAGAAATATCCCAAAACGCTTGTTATACCATGTTTGTTTTCCATTTAAAACGAGTTAATCCTTATGATCTTTTTACCTTTGTGTTCTCAGAAAATGTATTGAAGCATATGTATTTGCAAACACACTCTTAAAACTTCATTAAAATGCTTTTACGGTTGCCATGTCTAGAATGAAACAAATTGCCAAGTATATTATTTTTTGAAATAGTTATTTATTTTTAAGACAAGTCTTGACAGATTTAGACTTTATAAATTTAAATATGATATGATATATTAAATCAATTTTGACAATAACATGGTTGTTTAACATGTTCTAATTGAAGACAGTTAAACTTGAAAGTTCAAAATAATGAGGAAAATTATTCGTACCCAATTCTTGTACATGTGTCGTATTGTAAAATTTAAATCGCCTTTCCAGTAACTTCTTTGTTCGCCCCTTCCATATCTAACAGATACTTGTTTTAAAACTGGTGTCGAGTTGACTTGTTCAGGAGACGTAAATGTTTCCATCTTGTCGCATGCAAGCACTACGAATTTTTCCAACGACGGAAAGGTAAGGATACAAAGATTGGAGCCACAAAAACTTTCAAGTTCTTGTAGAGATACAAGCTCTATTTCCTTCAATTCTCTGAAATCAATCTTTTCTTGGTGTTCTGGCTCTAACACAATGGTCACCATTGATTTACATTGACTTACCTTCATTGTGGTGAGTTGAACCAAACTTTTTGCAGTTGATGCAGTCATTAAATGGCTTAATTTATCACAGTTTTTCACTTCCAGATTTGTCAAGTAAGTGAAAGAAACTGAGGAAGCCGCTATGGCGTTCAGACATGGACATTCCTCTAGAATCAAGCACTCTAGCATTCGAAAGAGTACTTTGTATTCTTCAAAACCTATCTTCTCAAGAGAAGGTAAGTTCACTAACTTCAAGCTTTTCAGCTTTGGAACAACCCCTGATTTTTCAGCAAGACTTATCTGAGGCACGAATTGCTTAACTAAACAATTACTCAACAATAGGCGTTTCAGATTAGGATTTCTATGGAGGAAAAAATCTAGAATGTATGTATCTTGTAATCCTGATAACTGAAACTCTTCTAATTTGTGCATTCGATAGTTGCCCATATATCTCTTTAAAGGATATGCATCATGCTCCTCTATTTGCATGGACTTCAAGTTGTAAATCACCTAAAATGATGGACAAAATAAACAAAGTTTAGTTAATGTAAAGATAATAGATGAAAATGCATCTTTAATGTAATTGAGTAATATGTTTTGTTTTTTGTTGTGTTACTATTCTCATTCTATCTCTATGAATTACAACTATTCAATGGAGCTAAAGTCTTATCAGTACCTCTTTAGGCGAGAAGAATGGCTTTAGTTCTGTTATGAAAAGCTTGAACTTGTGACATTGTTCCAAAGATAAGTCATTCAGTATTGAACAACATAATTCATGTGTTCCCCCGCAGAAACCCTCAAGGTTGGGCAGTTCGAAAAATCTGGCAGTGGTTAGTTCAGGAAATTTGAACGTCACCTCGTTTGTTTCCACCCTAGAAACAATTTCCTTCAACTGACCACAATTCCTGACCTCAAGGCATTCCAGTTGCTCAAGACCCATGGCTATTGAAACTGGAAATATATGTTTCAAGTTGAGACACTCTTGAACCAATATCTTTTTCAAATTTTTGAAATTAAGAATCCCTTCTGGGTTTCCGTTCCATACATGCTCCAATTTCGGCAGTGCTTGTACATGAAAATTTTGCAAGTTCATCATATATTCAGCATTAGGTTTTCCACAACCTCTGAGATCAAATATCTCTTTCATTGACGTGCAATCATTAACTTTCAGGTTGCACACACTCCGAAATCTTCCAACCATGTAACGAGGAAAAACATTTTCAAGTTTATTACACCCCTCAATGATCAATGAATCCATATTGTCAAAGGAATGTAGAGGAAATTTGGTCCATATCTTTTTCAATCTCTTCATGTTTCTCAAGTTGATATTCTTCAACATCGGAAAGATGCTTCCATTCTTGGTTCCCAATTGCCATAATTTTAATTAAATTAGTAACAATATTAAAGAAAATTAAAACAAAAACACATAGAGAAATAGAAAAAAAAATATATAACTTCTATTATACAACTATATTTAATGAGGTTTGTGTAGCTAATGGTTATATTTGTTTATATCCATCACCATAGTATTGTATAGTCAATTCTTCTTTCATGAATTAAGACAAACATAACTTCAATTACTTTCCAAACACACATCGTAAAACAAAACATCACACGTATTGTAAAACAAACACACATAGCATGCTGCCAGGTGATGATTAATGTTATCATTATTTTGGTTTAAGGGATGGGATAAAGGAGCACGTCAATTGTGTAAAGAAAAATTAATATAACAGTATTTAGACGCCTATGACCATGGTACTTGAAGGTCATACACTGTTATAGAATTTCCACATAAAAGTGTAGGACATGAAATACTTGCATATATCACATGTAGGATTTTGTAGAAGGCTTTCTTTACCATGATAAAACACATTTTAACTTAACTACTAAGATAATGTGAGTATAAGCTACATATCAAAATGAAAGTATATTACGGATCTGAATATATGTTTAACATACCTCTATATCGGTCAAACTAACTTCCATTTTGAATATGCTCTCCATCATCCCACATTGACTTACGTAAAGGCTTTGAAGATTCATCAGAATTTTGGCCATCGAAAGGGACAGTAGGTATCGCAAATTCATGCAATCATTCACATCCAACTGTATCAAATTTTGAAAGTTAGATCTTTTTAAAGGTTGCTCATTCCATATTTTTTCGAATTTGATCGAGGATAACTCCATTTTCTCTAATTGAGGAATTACAACCTGCAACAACAAACATATATCACTGAGCACTTTCTCCAAAATTGAAGAATTTATTTAATATTCCAAAGGGAAAGTAAAACAAATGGTTCTAGAAGAAAAAATAGGTAAGCAACATATATTTAAGTTACTCACAAAATATTCCTTTTTCTTTTTTATTTTAACAAACATGTAAATATCAAACATTATGGTTCGGAATCTAAAAGAAAAACAAATCAACATGACAATGTTGAACACACCTTTTCATCAAAGAGTTCACCGGGCTTTGTATTTAGAGCTTGCTTTCCTGTTGATGCATCATCGGTGTAGAATCCATTTAATTCAGACAAATATTGTAGTGTCAAAGAGCGCAATCCAGGAAACTTGATATCATCTGTAGATCTATTGCTATCCCTTTTCATGGTAACAATCTCCTTCAATGACTTACAGTCAGATACTTCCATTGTTTCAAGCGCAGAGAGATGTTGTATCATAGAAGAGAAGAAGACATTCTTTAATTGACCACACCTCTTGATCTTAATGATTTTCAGATTGCAGAAGGAATCAGGTGTAAATTTACTCTGGAAAATATGCTGCATGTTGTTGACTTCATAGAGAAATAATGACTCTAATTCGGGAAATGCTTTCTCAGGAAGGTTTTGGTTCTTTGAATTGATGATGGACTGAACTTTCGAGTTACTTGCAATGGACAAATATTTTAGATAGGGAAATCCTTCATAATTCAATTCAGAGAAAATATCATCAACGTCATTGAGCTGTCCCAGCAACAAATTTTCAACTCTTTCAAACAGTATTTTGATACCCTTCCAGTGATGAATGTCGAAGCCGTTTTCTGGTTGAAGTGCTAAATATCTTGATGCTTCACACATCTCTAGCACCTTGAAATCCCACTCTGGATATTCGTTGAACTCTCTAACGACGATCTTGTAACTATCCAACCTGTCAAAGAACAAATTCTCTGGAAAATGGGTAATTTTTGGGATCTGTATATCTAGTGTTGTTAATTGATTCAGTTGTCTAAGCTCAGAAAGATTAGCGTTTCCCTGTCCTTTCCATATATGGCTGCTTCCCGCATACAACTCTTCCAAACTAGTCAGACTAGACAATACACCAGCGGGAATATTTTCAAGTTTAAAACTATCACTCATGTCCAAAATTTGTAGCTTAGTTAACTGGCTAAATTCAGCAGGCAATTTATCATAATCAGATCCTGATAAACTAAGAACTCTTAATTTCTCCAACTCTCCAATTGCAGATAAATCGCCTAACTTGCATCGCTCCAAACAAAGCATTCTGAGTTTTTTTAAGCATTTAATTGATGATAAGGATGATAGATGAAGGCCAATCAATGTCAACAATCGGAGTTCTTTCATTGCGTTAAAAAAGTTATCTGGTATATGCAGAAGTGGATCCTTATTGTCAAGATGGAAAACTCTAAGTCTAGGACAGTTTATGGGTTTAGAAAACTCCTTCATGAGGTCAGTCAAATCACAATGATCAAAGGAAATAGCAGTATACCTTTTAAGCTTGTCTATGTCAGGCCATTCATCTAGTTTACCCTTTGTCAATGCAAAGGCATTCATCTGCTGGGAAGCTATTGACAAAGCTGCATCACGGACAACATCTTGCATGGTGAAACGATCCCTTGAAAAACTATCTGACAACAAACTTAAATCTTTCAACTTTGCAACCAACGCATGTACTCTATCTGTAGCTTCCCTTACTGTGTAAATTCCTTGAAATAAACCCAAAGCAATGCAGTATCTCACCAAGTCAGTAATTAATGCATCATGATTCATACGAGCACAAATTAAGAAAGTGTGCTTGAGCTCCTTATCTTCTAGAAGTTCATAACTCAGCTTTGTGGAAAACTCAGGCCTTGCTGTTAAGTTTTGGCTTTCAAGCCTTCGATATGCATCCTTCCATATCGGAAGGCTCTTGCCTTTTAATGCAGTTGCAGTAGTTACTATCGTCATGGGCAACCCTCTACACTTTTTGGCAATTTGAGCTGCTAATGATTTGAAGGTAGAATCTTCACCCATTTCAGCCATGGTCTTGAACATACTCTCTGCTTCCTCTTCTGTTAATGCTTCTACACGAATTTTTCGAATTCGTCTCCCATCCGTCTGCCTTAACAAGAGTTGTTCGCTGCTGGAAATCATCAAAGTTTTGTGATTCGTCTGGCTACTCGCAATGTTCGCGGATGGAATTCCCAACATGTTCAAGTCTAGTTTCACCACCATATTATCTAGGATTAAAAGGGTTTTATCCTTGGGGTTCTTCAATATCTCCCTAAGGCGAGCTGCTCTTCCACTCTCACTCTCTTCTTTCAACTCAACCCCCAAGTTGTCAGCAATTTGTCCTTGAATACTGCGTATGTCGGGACGACTTGTTACATTCACCATAATCACCTCATCAAACATGTTGACTTTTACTTCCATGGCAACTTCTTTGATCAAACTAGTCTTCCCCACACCACTCAACCCATAAACTCCAATCAGTCCAACATTCGAGTCTGCCAATGCAGCCATAATTTCAGCCCTAGTTTGATTTCTCGACTCATACATTTCATACCTAATGTTGTCAAAATCAGCATCAAAGGAAGGTGGACCCGACAAATAAGAAAAGTTATCAAGATTGGTATCCAGTAGTCCCTTGACCCTCTTTGTAATATAAATTACCATTACGCTTAGACGATACCTTATCGCCGGCTTTGGAAGGTAACCATTGGAAAACACAGCATATTGACTTTCTTCATCTTTCAAGAAATTCCCATACAAACAAATGATCTGATCCACACCTTTTAACCATTGAACGACTTCATCGTCAATAGTTCTCCCATGTCTTCTTTCTTCCTCTCTAGCTTTACTTTGCACTCTTTTTTGCTTTCTCTGTAGCTTACTAACATCTTTGGCTAGTTCTCGAACTCTACTTTCATATGAACTAAGTTCTTTCAGCACCTTCTTTATATATGGCCCCACCTTGATAATCAGGTTAAAAATGTCTTGAGGCTTCATTATCACCGTTCTCCTTCTATCAACTACATCCTTGCCTGTAAGATAATAAACCACATTCACTATTTAAATTTTTATTTCGAACAAGAACCCATGCATATCATTCTTCAATAATAGACACCAGAAAACTATAGCGAAGTTGGGTTTAGGGTTTAACAATCATTCTGTGCATGTAAAATAATTAAAATAGTAATTGTGCAAAGCGGGAAAAGATTTCTAATATATAATGCTTGCACATGGTCTATAAGGAAGTTAGATAGTAAATAGATAATTAAATAGATTAACAATTGGTTTGGGATCATCAATCCTCAGAATTTACCAAGTTTATGCTTTACACTCCTTGCAATTTGCAAACGTATGACATGTCATATCATAAATGAGTAACCCGTCCAATCTCAAAAAAAAATCTTAATTGTTTCAAATTTTTTTATTTTTTTAATGAAATAGTTACAAAATGCCAATGCCAATTAATAGGACCAGACCAAATCTTATTCTCTGTTTTTTTTTTTTTCTCATTCTTAAGCAAGTTTGTGAGAGAACTTAATTTATGATTTTGTGAGAAAACTTAATTTATGATTTATGTTTTATTTTTCGGTTCTTTTTCGTTTGTTACATTATACCTATTTATCAATTTTGATTCTTTTTTTTATGGAGATGTATGGATTCATGGATCTCTTCCTTTTTGTACAAAAGCTCTATTTGTCTCTATCATGAGTCTCTTCCTTTTTTGTATGTCATGGTCACTAAATATCTACTAGTTTTATTTTTATTTTTACTTATTATTAATTTAGTTATTTTACTTTTTGTTTTGTACGATATTTTAAAAATGGTTCAACATTAAATATATATTAAATATATCTGATTACTTAATTATATAATATTATATTTAAAAGATAATTATTATTAGTATCAAAATAAATATAATTTATTATTTAAAATATTTAATAAAAAATTTATAAATAAGATCATTTTATTGTCTAAAAATAATCTCATTTTAACTTATTTATTAAAACTTATTTATTATTAACTTAGTGTTTTTGCATATTGACTTTTCTTTTTTAATATTCACTATAACTCGACCAAAGTAGATTCAAAATTGGAGTTATCCAGCTTGACTTATTTAATCTCATTGACCAATCCTATTAAGTTTATTATTATTGTAATTTTTTTATAAAAACATTTGACGCCTAACATGAAATCTAGTGAAATATATTTCAGGCCACATTTTATCAACCAATAATTATTTTAGTTTAAAATCTCATATGAAAGAAATACAAAGAAAGAATGAGGCAAATGTTTGAGTAGAACTCGAAAGAATTGTGTGAAAGTACAAGGAAGAGTAGATGTCTTCAGAAGGCAAAATGAAGAAGTAGAAAAATAGTTGTGCCCTCACAAGATCTCCCCTAAGATATCATACTCCATTGAGATACTAATCACAATCGTGGTATCAATCGTTAACCCTGAGAGATTATACTTGCTCAATGTACCAAACTCAATCATAGTATCAATCGCCAACCCTAGAAAGAGAGATTCACATCGAGAGCGAGTCTTATTGGAGTGATGCTCAAACTGAGCCCAGAGCAAGTGGGAAGAAATCGAAGTATCATCATATGTAAGGAAACCAAAGGTGAAACTTGATCACCATGTCCGAGGATAAACAAAGTTGAAACTCAGGAGTCCCTTCACTCCTAGAATTTTAGCAGAGGTATTACTTGCATTCCTATGTAAAGTTTTTCCTATTACTTTGAAGGGACAATGTTCAAATAGTTTTATGATCTACCTGCTAGATTAATACAATCCTCTTAAATATTGATTCAAAAGTTTCAAGCTAACTTCGCAGTTACAAGATCACATCGGTCAACCTTTCTCACCCTTCAAGGGCTAAGACAGAAAAGAAATTCATCTTTGAGAAATTTTCTAGAACAATTTAATGAGGTGAGTCTCACTATATACAATCTTTCCCCTTATCTAACCATCCACTCCATGATAGGAGGTTCAAGACAAGGACCATTTTTGGATAGCATGTACATGTATTATCCAGAGTCTTTAGAAGAACTCAAAACTTGAGTTTTCAAGTTCATATAACTGGAAGAGAATATTGAACTTAAAAAGAGCAAAGACCAAGAAAGAGAGGGATCATCTCAGATATACAACTCGAATAAAAGATTTAGACAGGATGATAGGTGTGAAGAAAGAAAATTCGCACCCTTAAACACTAGTGTTGAAATCGTCCTACGAGAAGACTGCACCCTAAGACTTATCAAGTTAACAGAAGCAGTAGCCACACCCCCGGATGCAGATCGATCAAAATAATGTGCATGACATCAAAATTATGGTCATGTCACCGAGGATTGAACAAAACTTTAAGACATAATAGAGTATCCTTTTTAGAACAATTTATTCAAGGCTTAACATAACTTGGTCACTTTAATCAAGAACAATACTTTTGGTCACATTCATTGATGATGATTTGAACTCACTTAACCCTAAGCAAGATGATGTCATGAGTCCAACCATATCTAAATCTCTAGTCAGACTTGTTGGAAAATGAGTTCACACACATAGACATAGAACTCAACTCATCTAAAGACATACTACATTTGACGTAAACAACAAATACCTCAAATTTAAATGTTATATGTTAATACAACTTGCCAAAATAATTATTATACACTTAACTCTATACTACATTTAGCTCTGCCCTATATTTAACTTTGCATGACACTTAGTTTTACATTACACTTAACTTCGCATTACACTTAGATTCACGTTACACTTAGTTCTGTGCTAAAAATTCATAACTAACATAGCTCATTTTAAAATATAGCATATGTCAGTTTACTCACAAGTTGGAGACTAGAGAGAAAGAGCTTAGTTATTGTGATACATTGGATGTAGCTATCACATACGTTGATATTCTCACCTAATGCAATCTAGTTCAAAAAGATGGAACTTTCTTAGCTCATCAAATTTATATCAAAAGTCATATAAGATGGAGCCTCTGTAGTTCATCTTAAACAAATAAAAAGAATTAGTATCAAATTATTTAAGTTATATATTAAAATCGAATCAGGTTTTATTCAAAATATATTCATACATTAATTGAGTTACATTGTATTTGAGCACCATAATAGTTATCCAAGTACGTCATAATAATATTATATCATAATATTTAATATCACTAAATCAAATATATTGTCATACCCACCAAGCTTCACCAAAAGAGCTTTTCATCTATAACTTGAATTTGATCATCCCCTCATCTTAACAATAACTTTACATCAAACACACCTTAGTAATAGTTTTACATCGAGCACACCTCAATCATAACTCTACATCAATTACATATCGATAGTAGCTCTACATCGAACCTACCCGATCATTATTTAATGATATTTTATAAATTACTAGTTTAAATAAAATATAACTTGGTAGTTGTCAAAAAAAATGTAAACGTTGAATCAATTTGGTCACACTTGTAAATAGAAAGAAAAATAATTGACGCATTTTCATAGCTTGGATAAATCTTATAAAAATTAATAGATGAGATTTACTAAATGTACTTACCCATATTTATGTATTTATTATATCTAACATGAATATTCTTTCAATTAATTCATTTCAATAATAATAATAATAATATACCTTATTATTTGATTATATATATTAAAGGATAATTATTAGATTTAAAATAAATATAATTTACTATCTAAAATGTCTATAAATATATTTTTTTTATTTTTTATCAAGCATCTCATTCTAATTTAAAACTTTTTATATAATTTTTTTCTTGTACTATTAAGTGTCAAAATATCTTCTAAATGAATGTAAATTTATAGTTAAATTATCTTAACAAACTTATTTATTATTATAACTTTTTTGAAAAAATGTTATATATATATATATATATATATATATATATATATTTATATTGTCAACGTAAGCTGTTGCGTTTTATCTCTAATGTAGTGACGTTGTTGATTTTTTTATTTTTGTTTTGGATGATTTTTATAAATATTTTATTCATATTATATATATATATATATATATAATAAAATTTTAAATATTAATAACATTTTAATAATCTAAATTAAAACAACAAAATACTGCACAGAGTAGTTTCACCTATATTTATTTATATATTTTATAAATAAAACAAAATGTGAGAATATCTTAGATATTAATAATATTTTTATTTTAATATTTTTTATTTAAACAATGTTTTGAAAATTAAAATATAAAATGAGAAATGAAAAAATTAAATAAATTATAAGTACGAAATATTTTTAATCTAATTCCTTAATATTTTAGGTTGAAAGTAGTATTATATAATAGATTGACTCGCATTTTATACGTGAAAATCTCTCTATATTAGTCTCTTGAAAATATTACCAGTGATATTAGAGTAAATTATTTGTGTGATGATTAGCTTAATTAAATACGACCTAGAATAAGTGACAAATCCAAGATTATGGACCTTGTGTAAAAAGTCTTTCGGATAAGAATTCCAAGTAAACTTTGTTGAGTTGAACGATGATATAGGTAAGGTGACACTTATTATTAAGAAATGTTTTTTCAATTGAGAGGAAGGTGTATCAATGTAGAAAGAAATTACACTTGAGGGGGAAGATCGATGAGAATTTAAGTGAATTGAAATCTCGCATATGAGAGAATACGTGAAGAGAAGTCACATATTAAGAAAATTATATATTGGTGTTTACTTGTTATGTTATAAAAGGAACATCATGTTTACATGTAAATCATCCTAAATTTCTCCCTTCTCCTTTTTACTCGTGTATTGCATAATAGTTGAATTCTCTTATTTTTTAAGAGAGAATATTATTGTTTTTCCTTAGATTTAAAGAGGGTATTGAAATTTTTTCCGGTAATAAAAATCTATTATTATCTATTGTCTGTTTTAATTCTCTTTTCTCATTTTTTATTTTAGTTACGAGTTCTTAAGCAATTACTCGATCGCTAACAATGCACTACAAGAAAAAATC